CCTAACCGCCAGGTGGAGTTCACAATCGACTTAGTCCCCGGAGCGGGACCCGTGTCAAAAGCGCCATATCGCATGGCACCGAAAGAGCTTCAGGAGTTAAAGGCTCAGATTCAGGAGCTGTTGAGTCTCAGTTTCATCCGACTGAGTGTTTCACCTTGGGGAGCGCTTGTCCTCTTTGTTAAGAAGAAGGATGGGTCTATGCGTATGTTCATCGACTACCGGGATCTAAACCGGTTGACGGTGAAGAACAAGTATCCACTTCCCAGAATTGAGGATTTATTCGATCAGCTGAGGGGAGCCAGTGTATTTTCCAAAATCGATCTCCGCTCTGGTTACCATCAGCTAAAAATCAGAGAGGCCGACGTGGCCAAGACCGCTTTCCGATCCAGATACGGTCATTATGAGTTTGTTGTGATGCCGTTTGGTTTAAGCAATGCGCCAGCGGTATTCATGGATCTCATGAACCGTGTCTTCCATCCATTTTTGGACCAGTTTGTCATCGTCTTCATTGATGACATTTTGGTCTATTCCAGTAGCCCGGAGCAGCATGAGGAGCACTTGAGAACCGTTTTGGAGACTCTTCGGCGTGAGAAGTTATACGCCAAGTTCTCAAAGTGCGAATTTTGGCTTGATCGAGTGGCTTTCCTAGGCCACATCGTCACATCTAGAGGAATTGAGGTAGACCCAAGCAAGATTGAAGCAGTTCGAAACTGGTCGAAACCAAGAAATGCCACCGAGGTTCGGAGTTTTCTCAGTTTGGCAGGATATTATAGACGTTTCATCAAGGGGTTTTTGAAGATTGCCCTACCCTTGTCTCGTTTGACGAGGAAATCGATGAAGTTTGAGTGGGATAGTCGTTGTGAGTCGAGCTTCCAGGAGCTCAAAGCGAGGCTTACGATGGCACCCGTGTTGACTATTCCGGACCCCACACAGGGCTTCACTATCCATAGTGACGCCTCGAAGCAGGGTTTAGGCTGTGTTTTGATGCAAGACGGCTGGGTTGTGGCTTATCCTTCCCGTCAGCTAAAGCCGCACGAGGTGAACTACCCGATTCACGATCTTGAGTTGGCTGCAGTGGTTCACGCTCTGAAGATTTGGAGGCATTATCTATACGGAGGCCACTACAAGATTTACACAGACCACAAGAGCCTACAGTATATCTTCACGCAGAAGGAGCTCAACATGGGCCAACGGCGATGGTTGGAGCTAGTGAAGGATTATGACTGCACCATTAACTATCATCCTGGCAAGGCGAACGTAGTTGCTGATGCCATCAGCCTGAAGGGAAAGGGTGAACTGACTTGTATGATCACTTAAACAGCGTCAGTTGATTCATGAGTTCGCTCGGATGCAACTAGAAGTGGTCGAATCACCTCTTAAGTTGCCAGTTGTGGGAGGTATTCGAGCGATGAGAATGTGGCCCACGCTACGAGATAGGATACGGAGGGATCAAGACTTCGACGAGTTCGTTCGCTCGATGGGGGCGAAGATTAATGCCGGAGGAGTAGAGGGCTTTTATCGAGGCACAGATGGTGCCCTGGAGTACAAAGGAAGGATCGTTGTGCCCAATGTCGAGGCCCTGAAGAAAGAGATCTTGACGGAGGCGCATAGTGCACCATACTTGGCACACCCCGGTAGCACCAAAATGTATCACGACTTGAAAGGGTCATTTTGGTGGAAGGGAATGAAGCGAGACGTCGCCGAATTTGTTGAGAAGTGCTTGATTTGCCAGCAGGTGAAAGTGGAGCACAAGGTTCCACCGGGTCTCTTACAGCCTTTAGAGATCCCGCAGTGGAAGTGGGAGAAGTTGACCATGGATTTTGTCACGGGATTACCGATGTCGGCCAAGCGTCACGACGCGGTCTGGGTAGTAGTGGATCGACTGACGAAGTCGGCCCACTTTATGCCTTTCAGGATGGACATGTCCATGGAGCAGCTAGCCGAGACGTATCTCCAGGGAATCATTCGACTTCACAGCGTTCCTGCCGAGATTATATCATATAGAGATCCCCGATTTACTGGCCATTTTTGGGAGAGTCTTAACGAGTCCATGGGGAAGAAGTTGAAGTTTAGCTCCGCTTACCATCCACAAACTGACGGTCAGTCGGAACGAACCATTCAGACGCTTGAGGACATGCTTCGAGCTTGTGTTCTAGAGCGTGGTGGTTCGTGGGAGGAGTTGTTACCCACTGTGGAGTTTGCCTACAATAACAGCTATCACTCGTCGATCAAGATGGCACCGTTCAAAGCATTATACGGTCGCAAGTGCCGCTCACCCCTTTATTGGGATGAAGTTGGCGAGAAACAGGTTCTAGGTCCCAAATTAATTGAGTACACAGTGCAGAAGGTAGCCGAGATCCGAGCGAAGCTGAGAGAGGCACAGAGCCGACAGAAGGCCTACGCTAACAAGCGTAGAAGGGAGCTTGAGTTTGAGCAGGGAGACAAGGTGTTCCTGAAAGTCACGCCGATGAAGGGTGTTGTACGATTCGGAAGAAGGGAAAGCTGCAGCCCCGATTCATAGGGCCATTCGATATTCTCGAACGATTTGGCGATATTCTCGAACGATTTGGCGTGACAGCCTACCGTCTGGCGTTACCCCCAGAGCTCTCGGGTGTACACAACGTCTTCCATGTGTCTATGTTGAGAAAGTATGTATACGACCTGAGCCATGTAGTGAACTTTGACGAGCTAGAGGTCGGGCAGAACCTAACGTATGATGAGAGGCCGGTAGCAATTATAGACCGAAAGATTCGAAGGCTGAGAAACAGAGATATAGAGCTCGTCAAAGTTTGCTGGAGTCGCCACGATGAGTCGGAAGCCACTTGGGAGAGAGAGGCCGAGATCAGAGCTCGATATCCAGATTTCGAGTTTTGAGTTGTATCAGTTGTACCTTGTGTACTTTTATCTTATGCTTTTGTATATAGTTCGTAGTAGGAGTTCTGACCTAGTACCCTAGTTTTGTATTTCCGAGGACGGAAATATTTTAAGGAGGATAGGTTGTAACGTCACGATCAGTTGATAAATAAAACCAATTCACTTGCTCGACTTTAAAGTGAATTGGGTAATGTTGGAACACTAGAGTTGTTCGATTAAGTAGTTCTAAGAGATATTATGTGAATTATGTGTTTAATTGCGTTAATATTATTCATGTATCTTAGTATATTTAAGTGATCGTTTTTTCGTGCCAAGCATCCGAGTTTGTGCACTAAGCCCTAGTCAAGCCCTAGTCGAGTGCCTAGCCGCACGTTTGTACTGAACTGAGCCTTCGACTATCGAACCATAGACTTTTATTCCTCAAAAATAGCACATAGAACTTTAAAAGGTTAAGTGCTCAGCCCTAGTAGTGGCTTCGAGACATCATAGTGTCGAGTGCACAAAAGGCATAGACCGAGTCCGCCCGAGCTATTGGTACCGAGCATAAAGTCCACCATGGCCATATCATTTTGTTAACTTCATGCCATGCAAATGTTTTAGAAGGAGTATTAGTCATATTCTAAGTCCTAATCATGCCTTAATACCATTAGTCAAGTCAAATCCTTATTAACCATTTTATATGCCTTCATCAAGTAACATGGGCATGAATTTTTTTATTCACCATGTAAGACCTTCTCTCCTTTATCTCCATGTGCAACAAAACAAGACTTCTTCAGCCCTTTTAACTCATACATGGCAGCCCTTAGTACTCCACTATCTTGCACTCAAGTCCATGATGCATAGAAGTTAGTGTGCAAGTGATTGTCCCCCCACAATGTTCCCCATTAACCACCTAGTTTCTAACGTCCAAAGAACTCAATATAAGACCTCTATTCAGCTATCTTAAGGCCTTATTAATTCCATCAATCACTTAGAAAAAAACGCAGCAATAATCTCCCCTTCAAGAGAAAAAGCCATGAGCAAAATCAAGCACCACCGAGAGCTTTTTTTTTTTTTTTCTTGAGAGCAACGAGTGATTTTGAGCTCTAGCAAGCCTTTCTTGATAGCATCAGCAAGATAACCATTCTCCTTCATCCTCCATTCATCAAGGAAGATATTAGTGTCATCAAGTTTCAAGTAGGAAGCAAAGAAGTTGAGGCAACGCGAGTTCAAGCAACAAGCAAGACAACCGAGCATACCCGAGTTCCTTTGCTATTTTCGTGTAGTTTAGAGGTTGGTTTGCTAAATACTTTTTAATACTTGTTACATACGATATGATGTTAAGAATGATGTGTTTTTATGCCTTAGAAGTTCAGTTTTTAAGTGTTTACATGCATGAAAAAGAGATTAGTTACTCCTAGCTCACCTGCATGTTTCATATGTCCAGTTTTAAAGCGATTGTGAGTATGTTATGAACAACCTGCTATATTTTACATTTTATGACTACTTTTTGTGTAAAATAGGAGTTCATAGGATCAAGAATTAAGTCTCTTTAGACTAGTATAACTCGAGTTATAGATTTTTGAAAATAAGTGTGCAAGTTAATTTTATATGGCAGATTTTCAGCTACGACTTCAAACGCGAATAGCTCGAGTTTTACTCAGGATAAAATTATGAAATTTTATGAAAATGTTTATATATGCGTTAAGAGCTAGCATACCAAATTTTATGATTTTATCTTCAGAAACGAGTGAGTTATTTATTTTAGACCGTATGCATATCATGTTGAAATTTATGGTCATAGAACTCCCTCAATACATGCGTATTTGATGTGAAATTTTAATGAGCATTTCTCGCATGAGTTATGATTATTTTCACCAAGTTTCAGATTCAGAAGCTAAGTGTGGGAATTTATAAAATTCCGAGAAGTTATATGGGTCAAATGCATGTTTAAGTGCAAAGTTTATGTAGTTGGTTGACCAAGCTAATGACATGATAATGAGCTGAAATTTTAATTAGAGGTGCATGCATATGTTTATTATTTAACTGCTAAGTTTCAGCATTTTTAGAGTTAAATATGATTTTATAAAAATCATGAGATTTGAGAGTTTCTTTAGCTTATTTTGTTAAAATAAGTTAGCATGCTTAGACTTGAGTGATTATCCCTCAATTAGTATTATCAAAATATGATATGTTTGATTTAATATTTAAGAGTTATCTGAGTAGATATATTTCTTAAATATTTTGGTAGCTTAAGGAGAGTCGAGCCTCCGATAGCTACCCCAACATTTCAGCACTTGCGCTAGTCAGATATTTTTACAGTATACCAGGTGGGAGTCATGTACTGGATTCCACATCATATATAATATTGGTACCGTGGCAGAGGTATGTTCGAGACAGTTAGTTTCTCCAGGTGGAGGCCGAGGCCTTAATATCCCATTTGGAGACCCGGTGGAGGCCAAGGGCCTTAATATCCCATCGGGGTGTGCACACGAGCGGCCAAGGCCGAGGGTCTTTTGACCACAGTAAAGCAAGAAAAGAAAAGTTTACAGTTTCAGCTCTTATATATTTATGTTCATGACACAATATTATAACTGCTGTTTTATTCAGTACTGGTCTTTGCAGAGCATAGTGGTTTGCTCACGCCCCCATTGTGTTTTTCAGGAGACGGAGTCGAGCGTGCCGGATGAGCACAAACGTGGCAAAGAGTGGTCATGAGAGTCATGGACATTTTTACGCACATTTTATGTCCTAGTATTTATGATCATGTATTTTCGGATACGTATGCATGTATTTCTGTATTTCGGACGCTTCCGCTAGCAGACTAGATAGTGCGAGACAGTTCAGACATTGCATTTTTAATTCCATTATCCGTAGCGGATAGTTTGGTTGCGTGTTATATATGTCTGTGAGCAAGTTAAGTAAGTTTTTATTTGTTACATCCCGCAATCAGTAGTATTTTCGAAAACCAAGCTCGCACGACCTTTCGAAAATAAAAGCAAAAATTTTACTCTGATTTTTCAAAGCTAGTAAGGCGGGGTGTGACATCACGACGTTCCTATTGTTCGTGAGTTTGTGGATGTGTTTCCGGACCAACTTCCAGGAGGAGTTCTCTATTGATCTTATTCCAGGAGCCGACTCAGTTTCCAAAGCACCTTATCAAATGGCGCCGAAAGAATTGCAAGAGCTTAAGACCCAAATCCAGGAGTTATTACGACTCGGTTTTATCCGACCGAGCGTTTCACCATGGGGAGCACCCGTTCTTTTCGTAAAAAAGAAGGACGGCTCTATGCGCATGTGTATCGATTACCGCAATCTTAACTGGTTGACGATTAAGAATAAATATTCGCTTCCTAGAATCGATGACTTGTTTGACCAGATGAGGGGAGCCTGTGTGTTCTCCAAGATTGATTTACGATCAAGTTATCATCAGCTGAAGATCAAGGAGTCTGACATTGCCAAGACCGCTTTCCATACCCGCTACGGTCATTATGAGCTTGTCGTCATGCCATTTGGCCTCAGCAACGCTCCAGCAGTATTTATAGACCTGATGAACCGTATTTTCCATCCTTACCTTGATCAGTTTGTTATTGTATTCATTGATGATATTCTAATCTACTCCAAGAGCCAGAAGGAGCACGAGGAGCATCTGAGGGTTGTTCTTAAAACCCTTAGACGTGAAAAGTTGTATGCTAAATTCTCCAAATGCGAATTCTGGCTCCAGCGATTAATCTTTCTAGGCCATGTTATCACTCAGGAAGGTATCGAGGTGGATCCATCCAAGGTTGCAGCTGTTCAGAACTGGTCGACACCGAAGAGTCCGTCCGAGGTTCGCAGTTTTCTCGGTTTGGCTGGCTATTACCGCAGGTTCATTGAGGGCTTCTCCAAGATTGCCCTTCCTTTGTCCCAGCTGACGAGGAAGTCTGTGAAGTTCGAGGGGACTGATCGATGTGAATCGAGCTTCCAGGAGCTTAAGAAGAGGCTAACCACAACACTGGTGTTGACTATTCCTGATCCTTCTCGGAGTTTCACCATTTTCAGTGATGCTTCAAGACAGGGTTTGGGATTTGTACTCATGCAGGATGGCAAGGTCGTTGCTTATGCTTCACGTCAATTAAAGCCCTATGAACAGAACTATCCGACGCATGACTTGGAGCTAGCCGTAGTTGTTCATGCCCTCAGGATTTGACGACATTATTTATACGGCGGTCGATGCGCGATTTTCACTGATCACAAGAGCTTACAGTATATTTTCACTCAAAAGGAGCTCAATATGCGACAACGCCGTTGGTTGGAGCTCGTCAAGGATTATGATTGCACTATCCAGTACCATCCGGGGAAGGCAAATGTCGTTGCTGATGCCCTAAGCCGCAAGGTGAAGGGTGACTTGACTTATGTTATTACTCAGCAGAACCGTCTTATCCAGGAGTTCGCCCGGATGTAGATTCAGGTTGTTGATGCACTTCCTACAGCAATTACGGGAAGTGTCAGTTCTATGCAGGTTCAACCTACGTTGAGGGAAAGGATCCGGCGTGAGCAGGCTTCTGGTGAATTTGTTCGTGCTATTGATGCCAAAGTTTGCGCCGGAGGCGTTGAGGGTTTTCACCGAGGCACTGATGGGGCCTTGGAGTTTCGAGGTAGGATTGTTGTACCGAAAGTTGAGGCGTTGTGAAAGAAGATATTGGCTGAGGCTCACACCGCACCGTATTTAGCCCATCCAGGGAGCACGAGGATGTATCATGACCTGAAAAGGTCGTTCTGGTGGCGAGGGATGAAGAAGGACGTAGACGACTTTGTGAAAAAATTTTTAACCTGTCAGCATGTCAAAGCAGAACACAAGT